GTCTTCTCATTTCCACGGGGATGGGGGGTGCTTCTGGCACCCGTGCAGCTCACCTTCTCTGCCCTAGGAGCTTGGAATGACAGCGGGGGAGCTTCCTTCCGGGTGCTGGGACCGGCTCACCTTCTCTGCCCTAGGAGCCTGGGATGGAGGCAGGGAGCTTCCTTCTGGGTGCTGGGACCAGCTGAGCTTCACTGCCCTAGGAGCCTGGGATGGAGGCAGGGAGCTTCCTTCTGGGTGCTGGGACCCATAACAAATATTTTTAGATGTGAGGGAAAGGAGATCTAATACTCTAAAATGACTCATCCAGTTTCTACACTATTTGGGGGGAGAGATATGAGAGATTTAACCCAGGTCTCTTGGCTTTCTACCTCTGGGCTCTGTACCACTTTGCTTACCCAATTCTACAAGAAATGTCCAAAGAATCAGCTAGGCAGGCTCTGTAGTTCTTGAAAACTCACCCGAAAATTCAGCCAGAAGTATAATTAGCAAATGCTGGAAACTACATCCAACCCTCTGTATCCACAGATTCTGCATACTCAAATTCAACCAATTGCAGATCAACTATATTTTAAAGAAATTTGGATCTCTACTGAACATTTATAGGCTTCTTTCTTGTCTTTATTCCCTAACAATATAGTATAACAATCTTACATAGCATTTACATTATATTAGGTACTATAAATAATGTAGAGATGATTTAAAGTGCATGGAAGGATGTGGGTAGGTTACATTCAAATAATATGCCATTTTATATAAAGACTTGCATATTTGTGGATTTGGACATCCATGGGGTGCCTGGAGCCAATCTTCCCTAGATATGAAGAGAGGTGTTTCTTAGATTCCAGGTTTTTGCTGAGCACCTGACAGCATAGGAGCCAGGGAATGCAGAAGTCATGCTGGGGGTGCGTCCTCCTGTCTGGAGGGGTTTATTTATTCATTTGACAAATTTATGGAGGTCTTACTATGTGCCAGGCACTGTTCTGGGTGATGAAGGATATAGCAGTGAACAAGACAGATAGAACTTCCTGACCTCATGTAGCATTCATTCTAGCAGGGACAGACAGACAATAAACACGTCTTCACTTTTTGCTCTTTCAGCTGCTCATGGTCAAACATGGTTTCAAGAAATCAAATGGAAAATTACAGAAAAAAACAATTCATATATTTTGAAAAAAAATTTATTACAGTACATGGTTATAATTATTCTATTTTATTATTAGTTATTGTTGTTAACCTCTTGCTATGCCTGATTTATAACTTTATTGTAAGTGTGTATGTATAGGAAAAAACCATAGTATATATAGGGATGCTTAGGGTTCAGTACAATTTTTGTTTCAGGTATCCACTGTAGGTCTTAGAAGATACTCCCTGCAGACAAAGGAGAACTATTGTATAAAGAAAAGTAAAGCAGGGTAAGGGAGCACAGGAGAGAATGAGTAAGTAAATATGGGAGTGGTGGGGGTGTTATCTTACCAATCTGGAAACCTATAATCCATTGTTATTAATTAATAGTCACCCTGCTGTGCAATATATCTCAAACACTTATTCCTCCTGCCTAACTGAAACTTTGTATTTTTCAACAGTACCTCCCTATTCCTTCCTCTTGCCCCCAGCCTCTGGCAACCACCATTCTACTCTGCTTCTGTGAGTTTGATGTTTTTAGATTGCACAGTAAGTGAGATTATCTTTCTGCACCTGGCTTATTTTATTTTTTATTTTCTTTTTTCTCCAGTACCAGTGATCAAACTGAGGACCTTGCACTTGCCAGGCAGGCATGGGGCCACTGAGCTGCAGGTTCAGTGCCACTGAGCTACATCACTGGCCTTGGTTTTTTGTTTTTTTTTTGAGACAGGGCCTCACTATGTAGTTCAGGCTGGCTGGCTCGAACTGAAAATGTAGCCCAGGCTGGCCTTGAACTTGCAGTGATCCTCCTGTCTCAGTCTCCTGAGTGCTGGGATTACAGGTGTGAGCCACCACACCTGGCCTGGATTATTTGATATAGCATAATGTCTTCCAGATTCATCCAAGTTGCTGTGACAAAAGAATTTCCTTTTATTGTGGGGAGGTACTGGGAATGGAATCCAGGGCCTTCACACTGAGCTACCTCCTCAGCCTTTTTAAATTTTATTTTTAATTTTGAGACAAGTTTTTGCTAAATCATTAAGCTGCTCAGGCTAGAGTCGAACCTGGGATCCTCTTGCCTCAGTCTCTGAGAGTGTTGGTATTATAAGTGCAT